GGATAATTCACATACATAGATTTACGTGCATAGAAATACATTATTCCAAGGATAATTCACATACATAGATTTACGTGCATAGAAATACATTATTCCAAGGATAATTCACATACATAGATTTACGTGCATAGAAATACATTATTCCAAGGATAATTCACATACATAGATTTACGTGCATAGAAATACATTATTCCAAGGATAATTCACATACATAGATTTACGTGCATAGAAATACATTATTCCAAGGATAATTCACATACATAGATTTACGTGCATAGAAATACATTATTCCAAGGATAATTCACATACATAGATTTACGTGCATAGAAATACATTATTCCAAGGATAATTCACATACATAGATTTACGTGCATAGAAATACATTATTCCAAGGATAATTCACATACATAGATTTACGTGCATAGAAATACATTATTCCAAGGATAATTCACACACATAGTTCCATACAGCTTAGTGATTAGTACACAGGTATTCATCAGGTGAATCCAGTTCACATGTGCTCTATAATCTACGAAAATATGTCGCCCCAACATTAGCTATGGATTACGTAACACGTTTGTAATATCAGTGACAGCGCACCTTATAAAGTTGGAATAATATTGTTCAGTAAAAGTAAAATATTAGCACAAAATAGATGCTTGTTCATAAAACGAATAAATTGATATTAATTAAATCACTAAGGTGTGTGAATTTATTGCTACTTTAATTGTTAAACTACAAGAGGTGGAAGGATTTACAGCGAAATATAAAGTGTACCATCCAAAATATTGTTTGTTTATGTGAGAAATTACTATCATTATTACGATGTTCTTTATCATATGCAAGCGATTCTGTGTGTCGTTTAAATAGACAATCATGCCTAACCCAGTGCAAACAGTGTGTATAAAATAATCAATTCGCTAAACTATTTATAATGTTAATATCATGTGCCCATTGTGTGGCTCCCGTGCACAGAACGCAAATAGGAGGCGAATGGATTACTAATATCCACGTGGATGTGCGTGTCATTTGTTTTTTCCACCAATATATTAAGAACTACTGGGTTACAACATGGTACGCCCATAGGAAGTAGGAAAATGTATTATTGAAAAATATATTACAAAATTTAATTTGTTTTTATCTTCTTCTGCATAATAGACTGTTCTTCTTGACAATAATAACATTAATCGTATATGTTAATTAGCTAATATGTATCCTAATTAACCTATAAAACTGGAGTTGCTCAAATAGGTTAAAACTTGGCACAAGCATGGTGTTGGTATGAGTTTGATAATGAATTGTTGGGCACCAATCAGCGTTTTAATAAACTGTGTATTTTCTTACAGCAGTTTGAATAAATGCATTGAAACGTACATACTTTTTGTTTGTGTACGTGGATATCATCAGAGGCGGCAGCACCAAATTTTGCATGGGGGATGGGGCGATATCTGCTCACTAATCTCGCGCCGAAAGCGCAACCTTACTACGGAGTCCGGGGGCATGCTCGTATAGGCCCATTAAATAACATTGCATCGTTATCAACTGTGCTCGTTGATTGGCTGGTTAAGTTCAAGAACCATAGAAATTTGAAAATATTTATAAAGATGAAGAAAATGAACTAGTTTGCAGAGATTATTAATCGCATGGGACTCCTATCGATCAAGACAAGAAACGAACCAATGGTGTACATGTGCTGCTTGATCATGACGTCACTGATCCACCACAGTCAAAGGTCAGGTTGCAGTACTAACCATTCACTGCGTGTATGCTTCGCGAACGTCAACAGTACATGGCATATTAATCGTCCGATTTGGGATAGAATCAGGAATTTGAATTGACTACATGAACTAATCGTCAACAATCGTCAACAATCACCAACCACCACCAACCCATTGCATCATATGACGATTGCGCTACGTTTAGTCGTGATTCTACAATGTGACTCGCACCTTCCACGTATTAATCCACTTCTAGTCCTACGGTACGTACCTGGCGTTAATGGGGTAAGTCACACAACACACATTGGTGTATATATGTAGCAACTAAGGACGGTATCTGCCACGGCGTGTGCGTTTCCGGAAACAGCTACCCTGGCGAGAAAAGAAGGTCACGACCTGTATAGCGCCCTCCTTTCTATACATAACTTATAAATACATTCGTTTATAGAAAAGCTATTGTAGAATACTTTATTTTTGCTTAGAATTATTTTTCGCTATTTTCGCTGAAGGAGTAATTCAGTGAAAATAAAATCCAGCGAATATACCTTTTTTTACTATATTTTACATTCAACTCGTCAAAAATCAGTAAAAATGAAATCCATACAAAGCACCCAAACAGTCTATTCAACGAAAATTAATTCCAGTTAAAGTAAAGTATTTTACAGTATGCGCGTTGTAAATGTATTTATAATAATGATAATAATAATAATAATAATAATAATAATAATAATAATAATATGACAGAACCCCACACCCTCCCCGT